TATATGTGTATGTGTGTGTGTGTGTGTGTGTATATATATGTATATATATATGTGTGTGTGTGTGTGTGTGTGTGTGTGTATAAAAATCTCCAGCACTCAACAAAAAATAAAAATAATCTGTAATATGCCTAGGTGGCAGCATAGAAACATAGAACATAGAAACATAGAATGTGACGGCATATAAGAACCATTCGGCCCATCTAGTCTGCCCAATTTTCTAAATACTTTCATTAGTCCCTAGCCTTATCTTATAGTTAGGGTAGCCTTATGCCTATCCCACGCATGCTTAAACTCCTTTACTGTGTTAACCTCTACCACTTCAGCTGTAATGGCTATTCCATGCATCCACTACCCTCTCAGTAAAGTAATACTTCCTGATATTATTTTTAAACCTTTGTCCCTCTAATTTAAGACTATGTCCTCTTGTTGTGGTAGTTTTTCTTTTCTTCTATTAAATATAGTCTCCTCCTTTACTGTGTTGATTCCCTTTATATATTTAAATGTTTCTATCATATCCCCCCTGTCTCGTCTTTCCTCCAAGCTATACATGTTAAGATCCTTTAACCTTTCCTGGTAAGTTTTATCCCGCAATCCATGAACCAGTTTAGTAGCCCTTCTCTGCATTTAAAGGACTTCCAAAAATTAGTCTTTACTCATACTCACGCACTGAGAATGTTTGGAAACACCAAATATGGTGCATGTGTGCATTCCCTGCCCACCAACATTAATGTGGTTAGCAGTTACCATGGTAGCTACTACTGGTTAGCCATATGCAAATACATTGTACACTGAAAGTTAAAATCACCTATGTGGTTAAAAAATAGGTAAATATATATATTCCTGAGATTATATATATTGTATCAAAAGAACAGACTTCATGGAACCAGATGCTTACTATACGCATGTAACATAAGGATATCCATCAGAGTTGGATATCCATATACATGGGGGGACACTTTCTAAGTCAAGCATTGTGAAAGCATCACAAGGTAAAATCTCAACATGCAGAGTTTAGGATAACCAGGAACGAAACAAGGAAATAAACCTATTACAGGGCCTTAGAATGACCGTACGTTATGTTAAACAGAGAAAAAAGCATAGTCAAAATACAAGCCGAGGTCAAGGTAATGGAGAGACTGTGAAAACAATAACTTGCCAGAGTCAGGTACATGGTAATCAGTCACACAAGCAAACAACACAGGAGAGGAGTAAAGATAAATGTAGGACTAGTAACAAAACCAAGGTCAATACTAGAATATACACAAGGAATCAAGAAGAGCACTAAAAGGTACTGGGAACAGAAACCACAATAAGGCACAGTAGATAGGACCAGGGGAGTTTAAATATCTTTATGTTACTTTTGATTGATCCACGTCATACCTGCAACCCCAAAATGTGCATTAATGGGGGCGCCGGAATGACGTGGAACAATGGGAAACAGAAGTGACTTGGGACTCTCATAGCCAAGAACATGCTTGTGACGCATTAAAAAAGCATAACTATTGAAGAGTGAAAGATACTCAAATATATTAATAGAAAACCAAATAATAAAAGAAAAAAGGTAAGACAACTGTACAATTTGAGAGAAAAAAGCTGCAACTGCATAATAAGAGTGTCAGTCAAAGAGAAGTGTTCATCCCAATAATTAAGGTTTGGTAAGTGTAGAATGTGGAAGTCTGAAAACTGAAAAAATATCACTATAAGTACTTAGTTCCCTCATTAAAGCAGGTAGAGACATTTGAGGTTTTGAATTTAAAAAAAGTAAGTCATCCAAAAGGTGGAAAATTCTCCCCAAAGGAAATACCAAATATAGCCATGTCACTGCAAATAGTATGAAGAAATGGTGTGAGAATTAATACAAATAAAAGGGAGGATAAAGGACAACACTGCCTAGTACCCATATGAATAAATTCCAGAGGGTGTAGGTGTCCATTAACTGCAATGTTATCTGTGGGACTAGAATATAAATATTGGATCCAAGCCATTGTAGTCCCAAGCCCAGAAATGTAACAGTTTGTAAAAGTAAAGAACAATCTCCCCTTTTTAAAATCATTTTCAGCAGAAGAGAAGGAGTATAAAAGTGGCAGGCTTGGTTAATAAGAGTGATAATCTTCATAGCATTATCTCTCATGTCAACATATTCTGTAGCACTGTACAATTGGAAAAAATAAACAGTGTAATTCACACAAGCAAATACAAAAAGTAAAGAGGGCAATATACTGAGCTGAAATCTTGCAATTAAAGTTATTTTAAATAAAGTGCTAGTTAGATAGCCAGTGAGCTTACATACTAAAGGATCTATTGGGGATTTGAGACAAGAGGAAGCAGAGGGAGTTCACAAGTGATGGCCTGTTAAAAAAATCAATAAGATTAGTTTGGCATGATCTCCCTGAAGTAAACCCATGTTGTCTCTGATCTTGAAATCCACGTGTTTTTAGATGTTCAACAATCCTATCCTTTAACGTGGTAGTGAGAAAGTAATGGAAACCATGTTAAAGGATAGGATTGTTGAACATCTAAAAACACGTGGATTTCAAGATCAGAGACAACATGGGTTTACTTCAGGGAGATCATGCCAAACTAATCTTATTGATTTTTTTGATTGAGTAACTAAAATAATAGATCAGGGTGGTGCAGTAGACCTTGCTTACCTAGATTTCAGTAAGGCTTTTTACACTGTTGCACATAGAAGGCTTATCAATAAACTGCAATCTTTAAGTTTGGATTCCAATATTGTTGAATGGGTTAGGCAGTGGCTGAGTGACAGGCAACAGAGGGTTGTAGTCAATGGAGTATATTCGAAGCTTGGGCTTGTCACCAGTGGGGTACCTCAGGGATCTGTACTCGGACCCATTCTCTTTAATATTTTTATTAGTGATATTGCAGAAGGTCTTGATGGTAAGGTATGTCTTTTTGCCGATGCTACTAAGATATGTAACATGGTTGATGTTCCAGGAGGGGTAAGCCAAATGGCAAATGATTTAGGTAAACTAGAAATAACACATATAAATAATTTTTACTTATACCATGTGACCTTTATCATGAGTTTTAAATATTCCCTCACATAATATATTAGAAAGTTTACTCTTTAAGTATTATTTAACTCTGAATTGAGAGTGGATTGATTAGTTGGTTGAGATATTTAGCTGAGTTGGATACATTTTCTTTTTTTTTCCAACTTGGATATTAACCTAAATTTTGCAACTTAGTTGCCAACCCTTCTCAACTTACCACAGTTTGATGTTTAGTAAAGAAAACCTTTATGCCCTAGTTACAAATGTACTTTTGACTTGGACATAAAAAGTTTATTCTCTCAGAACATGACTTTGTCCTTGTAAGAAACTTTTGCTTCTACAATGAATGACTAATTGTACATTTCTTTTATCTACATAAAATATGTTAATTTATGCTTTATTCTGCATTGTCAAGGTTTGTTTAAAGGGAGTTGTATCAAAATCAAAACCTGTTAGTATTTCAAATACTAATTAAGCAACTTATTTTACCCAGAATACTTTATGAACACTAAATAGTTATAAGTAAGATATAAATGTTCTTGCTGTAATTATTTATTATTCACTGTTGTGACGCATAATGTCTAATATAACTTTACATTCATATGGTGGAAGGTGGTGTGATAATGTGTCATGATGATTGCAACATTTCACATACTATTTTGCATTAATTAATCCTGTATGAAAAGGTATCCATATATCTCTGTTGCACATGATTATAGTTTTTTTTAGTAGTGAATGTGAGTCCATTTAGCAATGATGTATTTAGTTTTAGTTATGTCCATGATCTAGCCAAATCTGCGCTCTCTCTGCATCTTTGTCACATCTTTGCTTGTTCTACCTTTCTCAGACAATAAATCACCCTTCCAGGCCTTGAAACTTTTAAGTATAATTTTCCTCTCCTTTTCAACCATATGCCTTTTTCCATGGTTTCTTCCCAGCCATGATTGGCCCCATCCTATTCTATAATGGAGACATGTCCTCCACATGAGCTTCTATAATGATTTGGAACTTACATTTACCAAACATTTTCTTTTATAAATAAAAAACTTGATTTAGACACTCAATACCACATCAAATATATCCAAACCATACAAAATGAGCAGTACAGGATAGCCAAATGCAATTTTGTAACAAGCACCTCACAGGTGAAAAACTCTGAAGAATGTGTAAGACCTGAATTTATTTTCCTAACTCTTTAAAATAGAATAGTTATTTGTCTCCTTTTGCTTATCATATATAACCACATGTCTCTTTCCATTAAACCACTTTTACAGAACAACTGGCATATTAGACAGAAAGATATGGTACTTGGTAACAAAATTAAAATAACACCACCATTACAAAACATTATGGCTCCCAGCTTACTGAGAAATAATATTATAGACTATGACTATGAATTGAGTGATAAATAGGATCAAAGGATGCCCATAAAGGTGGCAAAAAGGATATCATATGTCTCCTTATGTTTATAAGGAGGACCATAATTCTTTGTTTCAAATCAGTTCAAATGCCAATAGCTATTACATGGATTCCTTATTTACATGTAATATAAACTTCCACTTTATCATACAAGTTCAGACTGGAAGCAACAGGTGCACCTAGGAAAGTATTAAACTCTTAAAGAGACAGTCTAAAACCAACTCACTTTATCTTACTGAAGTGATTTTGGGATACACACTTCATGGTGTATGTCAAGATCTGAGGAGGATTCTTCAGCAAGATATAGGTCAAATCCCTAACAAAGCAAAGTAGAAAAGATACAGAAATTGAGGTTGGCAAGGGTTAACAGTCTGGTATATAACTTAAACCGCAAGAATGAAAAGATTCTAGATCTGGCAACAGTTAAGTAGTCTGTTAGGTATCGGGGTATCTTGAGATAGGGAATTAAACAGAGATTGAGTCTGTCTGTGGAGACAACAACTGTATACAGTACCAAAAGTATCTGTTAGTTTTATCCATGCACAATACCAATTTAGGGGAGAAGTAGGATGTGAGGGTGATGTGGTTGTGACATCTGTCACTCCATTGATCGCTAGTGTTAGGCTGATCTGGCCAGCTAGGCAGGTGTGTGTTAACTTACTTCCCTTGTTCTCCCCCTTCATCTCCTGAAGCCTTGCGCTCAGATGAAGATTGTTACCTGGGGGCAATTAAAGTGCACTTCCCTGATAGATCCTCCAAATATCTCTAGGACAAAATTGTAGGAATTAAACACCAGGGTTAGTCATACATCCACATAGGCACTGCATGTGGCAGTTTGCCATCCTTTTTGTTTCTATCACAGTAAAGGAGGAGACTATATTTAAAAGAAGAAAAACTACCACAACAAGAGGACATAGTCTTAAATTAGAGGGACAAAGGTTTAAAAATAATATCAGGAAGTATTACTTTACTGAGAGGGTAGTGGATGCATGGAATAGCCTTCCAGCTGAAGTGGTAGAGGTTAACACAGTAAAGGAGTTTAAGCATGCGTGGGATAGGCATAAGGCTATCCTAACTATAAGATAAGACTAGGGACTAATGAAAGTATTTAGAAAATTGGGCAGACTAGATGGGCCGAATGGTTCTTATCTGCCGTCACATTCTATGTTTCTATGTTTCTAGAGAGATTAGTCATTGTCAGAATCAGCAGGTCAAAGGCAAATAAAGTTTAGTAAGACAAAATCAAGCAATAATGAATTGATTAACCAGGATTGCATGCAGACCTGATCAACACCTCCAGAGAATGATACCAGAGTAACCTTTTCAATACTTTTTAATATTACAGTAGTCCTCTTTACTGTTGTATCACTTTGGTCAAGACCTTTGTCTGCATGAAGAGGTAATGCAAGCACCAGGGAGTAATTATGTGTGCCATAAGGATTGTTGCTGCAGTTATCGAATTGCTACTTATAAATGAAACACTATTGTGTCTTTACATGAATGAGCAACTGACCCCACGCCTTCTGTTATCAAACTATCTCTCATGGTTATTTCAAAGTAGGTTTATAGAACGCATGCAATCAAGGTTTATTACCATTACATTTTACTCTCATTATGCTGCCCATAGTTAATATACTCTGTGTGCAAAGTTAAAAAATATGAACCTAAAAAATTATATTACTAAACCTCTATACTATAACTATAATATCACTTCTAATATAACCCTCTCTGAGGAAGAATAGCCGAAAGCCAACAGACATATGAATATAAGGCACGTAGAATTGTGAAAACTGTAGTAGCTCTTTTCGAGTTAAAGATCTTGATTCGAGTTGGTCTGAAAAGAGTATGAAGATAGAATCTATACCTTCAATATAAAGTGAAACATTTGTGAGCTATCTGAAAAGAAAGCAGTATAATTTCTCCATATAATGTATGTGTCAATCTTTCACAGTACTAATCTGTTGGAGTGGTATTTTGTTAAGATATGAAAAGTGAATAGAATTCTTGTTGAAAAATGCTTGTGCTGGATATAGTTCTGACAATATTTGGAACACATGTTTCTAGAGGGATTATATCCCTATGGTTAGTGCTACTATGAGTGATTGTAGCTACTATGAGTGATTGTATTATAATATTAAGAAATTGCAAATACATAATTCTATTTTCCTAATCCATTAAGTATAGAGATTGATTTAATATTAAAATTAATAATTATTAGTCAGCCTGATATTTTCAAACAGTAAATTATAACAGGATGTCTGCTTATTTTATGACACTGGATCGATCAGACTTACGAAGTTGTTTGTTGCTTTTGAACTTATTATACCCTAAATGGCAAAATGCCTTCAAAAGATGTATCAATCATTGTTACTTTTTGAAGCTTCAGTGATCAGAGCTTAGCAGAACAAAAAGACAATTACAAGGTTTGGCAGCTTAATTTACTTTTCACATAGAAAATAAGCGTTGAGATGAAAATGTAAACATTTATATTGATTAAAGGCCTTATATCATGATAGGATCTTGGGAATGGCTAATTAATATAGCCATTTTCTGCTGTAATGAAAATGAAAATCAAAACATCACATTGTTCTTGAAAGCCATGAGAATATATCTTAATGATTTTAACTATTAAATGTTTTAAAGAAAAAATGTTGAAACAAACATAAACTGAAAGATAGGAGGTATGTCTGTCAGACACCCCTATTTTACATGCCGCTATACATATTCAGAATATAACCTATACACTCAAATTAAAATTACATAAACTGCCATGAAAGTGACTCCTTCTTCAAATAATCCAAGAAAAGCATACTTACATCCAACAGTACATCAATATATTAACTCATAATTAAATAAATTGCTGTGTCAAATGTCATTAATAAATAGGTTGCTCTGTTAGACCCATGAGTACATTGAACTGTGTATTTTACTGTAGCACTATTGAATATGTAGACATATAGACAATTGCACACTGAAATAAATATCTTGCAACATCAGATGCCATTGTAACAATGCACAGCGAAAATAATTTGGTTTAGTTTAAACCACTTCCTCTGGAAAAAGCAAAACAACTTTTTTCACTGGACTGAAATTTTCCATGAGACATTTCAGTTTGGCTGAATCCATGCATGCAGTCATTTTGGGAAGACCAATTCAGACAAAACAGCAGGGCATGATAATGAGACAATCAATGTACTGCAAAATATATATGTAATATAAATAATATACAATACATAATATAAAGATATTTTCCAGCCATATTGTTCAACAATCAAGTGAGGGTAGCCGACTGAGGGAAAAAACAAAGAGCAGTACAAGAATCTCTATTTATATATTCTTTATTAACTGCTTCACACTGACAATCAGTTATGCGTGATTGACAGGGTATGCAGCTATGATCTGCAATTATGTACACATGATTTTAAACATTTCAAATGAAGTTTGTTTTTTGCAAACACGTTTTATTTGCAATTTCAGCTCAAACTGCTTATCCCTGTTTAATCCCCATGCAGTTATATGGGCTGGTGGGAAGATCTGTAGATCTCCATGCCTGGCCTTGCACTCACTGTCAGTGTATGCTGCACCTCCAGTTGTGGGAGCAGTTCTCTACAGATGCAGTATAGGTTAGATATGATAGTTCTTACTTCTTTCATAGCATTAATCCCAGCTACTGGTAATACACATATGAGCAGTGACAGCTGGATTTGGTTCCAAATATACATTACTACTTTCTGCAGAGAAGGATGCTGTTTAGGGCACGAATGTCCTACTTTTAACCTTTTCTGGAACTCTTTTTCCACAAACAGGACTCATTCTAGTCTTGGTTCTATGCATTTAATAAAATTGTATAAATCATAAGATACACAGGGACCATAATATTTTATTGTTATTAATGAACCCTAGTTTTATTAAGGGAATTATAATTCCTTCATCCGAATGTGTACACTTGCCTCAAGATGCATTTATGGTTAAACCTCTATGGTTTCAAAGTGTATGTTAAATATGTAAACAAACAATCCATGGGGATCATCATATATTAATCATAACATGGCAGTTCATGTATTAGGAGACAGTAATGTGCTTTGTTCATTTATATAAAAAAGTGATTTGATATAACTATATTGAATTCATACAAAATGTACAATGTGCTAATATTATTTTAATATTATTTTAGCTAGTGCTAAAACTGGAGTGGACAGCTCTGTATCTTACATTCCTCCAGAAGGTGAGATTGTCTAAAGTTAAATACTGATAGTAGTCTTATAATTAAACTGATTGAGCCAGTGATTTAATCATTTCAAATTTCATCAGAAACTGCCTCGTCAGACGCATTGTCCTGACCGAATTATCCTGTTTTAGTTTTGCTTTTATAGGTAATTTAAACTGACTGCTTTACACATTGTTTCCCGTACAGTAAATGCAATGAATCCTCCTAGTAAATCGAAACGGCAACATAAGTATAAACTATTTATGAAGATTTTTTTAGTGTATACAAGCTGCTTTTGAAGGTTTGCATTAAATTAATTTGAAATATACAGTAAGGCATTCAATATGATTACATAGGAAAATTAAATAATGCTTTTTTTGACGTACGCAGACAAACAGGTGGTTTCCCAACATTGCTCCATGATCCATCTTCTTGGCACACTGCTGTTGATTGCTGACTTGACTGTAATCTGTAGCCCTCATTGCAGTCATATATCACTTTGCTTCCTAAAGTAAATTCATTTCCAGATACAGAACCATTTCCAGGAGACGGGGCTATACCGCAAGATACAGCTGAAAAAGTGAATAATTGTTGAGTGTTTTAAACATCATGTTTTATGGGAACAAATACATACATTTAAATATTATTAGGGCTGGAACACTTGCACTGGTTAATTTAAACATCTGTACCTTTCCAAGCAATGTAAAGTCATCTTTCTACTTGTACACAGTTGATGTGATACTTTTTTTGTGTTACAGGTAGGCACATCTTATATTTATGACACCTTACTAACCCCCACAAACTTCCCTTCTCTAACATCCGTTGTTTTAAGTGTTAAACTTTATTAGATTGATCAGTATTGCTTCAGACATTAGGAAGAGTGGAAAACTCTTGAAAGCTTGTCTTTTAAGTATTATGTTAGTCCAATAAAAAAGGTATCATTGCATACTGCAATACTTTAGTATTTTGGTGTCTTGTCAACTGGACTAACATAAATAATCCAATCTACATGACATATGAAAATTACATCTATCTATCCATCTATCTATCTATCTATCTATCTATCTATCATTAATCTTTGTGTAACCTTATTGATTAGTAAACTACCTCGAGTTAACAGATCACCTAATTAGAGTTATGGGTACTTAAAGATGTTAACACACCATACATAACTTTAATGAATCTCCAAATTGCCATTCACAATTGTCTATACATGATGGGTCTATTATATCTTTATAAAAATACGTGTAGTTATTCTTTAGGACGGGGTAAGAACAGGATAATTACAAGAAATACACTTGAACTTATTTAATAAACATTCCTTGAAAACATAATATTAGATTTCCAGAATAAATTTGCCTTGTGTTATAATATTAGCGTGACGTTCCGGAAAACATGTTCTTAAAAGTACTATATATAGTACTTGTTCCAAAAATATTCTATGATTATGAAAGATCTGAAATAAGCGATTGAATGGATAAATTAATAAAACTTGTTCAATCAAAAATAATAATTTGTTATCCAGGTCAGCAAATGAGATAGAAACACACATAGAACAGAAAGACATGCACTCAAGCAAACAATTTCACACACACACACACACACACACACAAAACAGCAGACTTTTAAAAGCTTATGAT